ACGAATAAATACTGTAATAAACGTTTTTTTTTTCTTTTACAGTGGAATACTCCAACAGTGTCACTTTAGCAGAGCAGTAGCGGTAATTAACTGAAAACTGCTTACAGTTAATTACTGTACTGTAGTTCTATACTCACAGCATAATGTGTATCTACTGCATACACATGAATCATATATAGTTATGAGTCGTTTTACTCAAATTAAATCAGCGTTCTTAAGCAGTGTTGGGGAAAAAAGTAATGTATTACAATCTGTAGTCACTTAAAAAAACTTAAGTGTTACTTTTTAAGGACAAATGTGAATATATATGTGCTATGTTATTTTATTGTAATTTGCATTTTTTTAAAACTTTTTTTAAAGAGATTAGGTAGATGTAAAATTGTAATTTATTACTTTTTATCCAACACAGTTCTTAAAAAATAGAAAGCAAATCAATTCTTCAGACAAATATTTTTATTGTTTTGGCAGCAAATAAATACAACAGAAAATGTCTAACAAAATAGCAAATATGAATACAATTTTCTATTTACAATGAAACAAGGAGGTTAAAGTAATGAACACATGCAGTGTATAAAGGACCTGGGTGTTGAATAGGGTCGGAACTCCAAGATCTGAGTTTGACACTGATGAAATACAGTGTTGGGGTGGGGATAAGTAACATGAGTAAATGTATATGTAATGTATATACTGAAAGTATATGTAATAAGTTACATAATAATCTTACTTTTCAAAGTAACAAGTAACAAATTACTTAAAAAATAAGTAATAATATTTGAGCTATTTTTAAGTTAAATTAATTTACTTTTAAAAAAAATGAATTGCTGAATTAAAATGAACCCACTAATTTTGACCACACTCACTAATTTTCTACTAGCAGAAACAAACAGAAACCGAGATGGCAGAGCCTTACGTTTCTGCACTGGAAGTATTCTCAGTCTTCTGAACACATGGGGGACAAGTAAAAGGAGATGTTTGTCTCAATGCTCATTTTACTTCACTAACAAGACAAAAAGTACAAAAGCATCAAACACATTGCTTTAAACTGTTGTTACTCTGTATATACTCCATGTAGAGCTCTGAACTCAGCAAGTTCTCAGAAGATAACCTTATCCTAAATTGTTATTATTTGATGTGTTTTAAGGTAAATAAATATTAAACAGCATGTTGTTAATTGCAGAACTCCTCTATTTAAAAAAAGAAGAAAAAAAACTGCAAGACCAAGCCTCAGGCAGCTATAAAAAGTAAAGCAAAGTTGACTCAAAAGTAACATAACGCATCACTTTCCATAAAAAAGTAACCAAGTAATTCAATATTATAATGCATTACTTTCTAAAGTAACTTTCCCTAACACTGATAGTATATAGCAGTGGATGGTGTAAAGCACCCCTTTACACACGGAAAATATTGTAAGCCCCCTCCACATTTAATGATATTATCGCTCATATAAGTTTGCAGTAAGGATGATAAAAATGTTGTTTTCAAACAAACAGTAGGTTTATTACTATATCTAGATAGGTTTATGCATAAATAAAAGCCTAATATATAATATAGAAGCAAACCGTAAGCTTTTAACCTGTAAATTGGCCGTATTAGAAATTCAATGACAAAAATATCAGTATTCACACTGGTGTATAAGAGAATAAATAACATAGACTCTTTATAAATAGACACATAAAGCATCAGAATATTAGAGACAGTAATTGTTGAACAGTAATTTACCATTGATTATTATCAGAGTTACTACCTGTAATGGCTACATAGTGTAAATTACTGTCAGTTATTCTTTGCACTACACAATTTCATACAAATTCTACTCGTTTTACAGTAAAATCCTGTTTCTATTTATTAAAGGAAAACACTGGCTATTTTAGGGTTATTTACTGCATAATCTACAGCAAGGGTTAACAGTGTACAATCTAAATAACTGCCACAGAGAAGACATCTAACAATCTATGCCCACCTCCACCCCCTTCCTCTTGGAAGGGCATCTATATTTCAGAATTTCAGGAAATACCTGACCTCTAACCATCAGTGTCCAGTCATTGCTGAGGTGTGTGATTCCTATATCTGTCTTTACATGCTGCTTTCCAGTATGTAAAAGACAAAGCTCTACATGCTGAACTCCAGCAATGCACAAGATGTTCTCCAGTGTTCTTCAGATAAATCTCCACTGATGCTCTTGTGAGGTTCCTTTTTTTGTCTGTTTTGTGTTCATTACTTGAAAAAGAAACACCTGCCACAGACAAGACATCTAGCTAACTATCTATGCCCACCTCCACCCCCTTCCTCTTGGAAGGACATCTATTTACCATTCGACCAGCCATCCTGTATTCTATCCATTCATCCATCAATCCAAAAAACACCTAACCAGACCATCAGTTTGCAGTCATTGCTGAGGGGTGATTCCCATTTCTCCACATGCCCCAGTCTAATCTGCAAAAGACAAAAACAAGACTAACAGAGCTCTACTGGCTGATCTCCAGCAATAAACAAAGTGTTCTCCAGTGTTCTTCAGAGAAATATTCACTGGTTCCATGCGAGTCTCTTCCTGCTCCTCCACTCCAATCTGCAAATGATGAAGACAGCACCAACAGAGCCCTTTGCTGGCTGAGCTACTAGCAAATTTTAGAAAAATCTCCACTGATGCTCTTGTGACTCTCTATCTTCTCCCTGTGTTGCTTATTACCAACACTGTAAATAAAATCCACAGACATCAATCTAACAATCTATTCCCACCACCACCCCCTTCCTCTTGGAAGGACATCCATCCATACACAAATCCATTTGTTTTTGAAGGACATTCCTGACCATCAGTGTCCAGTCATTGCTGAGGTGTGTGATTCCTATTTCTCTCCACAAGTTAAACTTCAGTCTGTAAAAGACAAAGACACGACTAACAGAGCTCTACATGCTTGCTGAGCTCCAGAACTGCATAGATGTTTTTCAGTTTCCGTCTTTTGCCTGTTGTCTGTCCATTACCTGAAATGGAAACACCTGCCACAAACAGGAGTTTTAGCCCAATTTGATTTCACCCTCTGACATTGGAGATGAAATCTTGTGGAGGACTTCGATCGGTTCTGATTCTCAGCGCAGATCATGGTAATGTGAGCCGTTTAAAGATAGAATCCCACACCTCACGATCAAAACAAACATGTTTGATATACAGAATTTTAAATCGGACTGATCACAGCTGTTCCAACTTATTCCACAACAAAGCCATGAGCTTGGGAGAATCATGTTGCTTTCAATAAATAAATAAATGTTTTTTTTTTTAATAGAATTGAATTTTTTGAGCCAGATTTAAGGTTATTCTTATACCGGTGTGAAGATATTCATAGCACACGTGTAGCGGGGTATGGGTAATATTACTAAAATAATAATAAGTAACAAAAAAAGTGAGTTATTCCATTCGTGTCTGTGACGACGGTCTCCAAGCATCATTAAAGAGAAGAGCTGGGATGAATCGCAGCAGTTTTACAAAGAAAATAAATATAGGTTAATTTATAATAATTTTAAATGATCATTTTTCATTAGCCACGTTAATTTGTGCGCATAAATAATTATTACCCAAATGTGGTTGTTTGCTAGGCACACTTAATTGCCAGTTATCTGCAAAAATAAATAGCTTAAACATTAAAATGTGCTTTTAGAAATTACAAATAGATCTTTTTCTGAGAGGGCATTGTTCAGGATAGGGGTCAGAAAACTATGTACAGTATAAAAAAAAAAAATCAGGCCCGTAAACCCAGAAGTTTTAGTTTTATATGCTATAACAGGTTTGCTTTCAGAGCGGGATAACTGCACACCAGGTTTTACGTTGCATTTAGTAAATTATTATATTTTTTCACAGTATAAAGGCATTGCAACAGGCAACAGTTTAGCTTTTGAACTAAAAAGAACAGCACATCGCGGCATGATGGGACAGATTATAAGCCTATTTTCATTATTGGACATTTGTCTGGACATATTTCGTATAGGTCACCATTTTTTTACGTTACAAGCGCCACTAACAGCTACACAAACAGGAACCTAATGTATTTTGAGTGCATGAGAGTGATTTTGCCGGTAGGAGCAGTTTGTCTAATATTGTTTAAAAATAAATGCTATCTATTGATTAAAAGTGAGTGATGTGCTCCATCAGTCAAGATGCTCCTAATAATATCTTGTAGTGCTGTGGTGCAGGTTTCATATCTTGTAGTGTGCGCATGTATAAGATTTGAGGTAGGCTAATAAATTTGCTGAAGATTCTCCTCATGTGTGTGCTGTAACCTGATTTCATTATCGGTTAGAAAACGACTGTAGTCTGAGCCCGGCTCAAGCCCACCACCATCCTTTTCCTCTTGGACATCTGTTGTCGACAGGTGATACCTGACCGTAAAAGTCTTATCATCGCTGAGATGTGTGATTCCCTAATTTCACCTCTCCACTCTGTAAAAGACAGACAACATCAATAGAGCTCTACCTGGAAGGAAAATACCTGACTATGACTCTGTAAAAACTAATATATACAATTTTAAATGTTTTATAAACTTGATTTGATTCAACCTTAAAATGTAAGGCTGTACCTAATTTATTATGATGCACTTGTCACTTGTGTTTCCCTGTTCCTCCACATGCTCCATGCCAATCTGCCAAAGAGAAAGATGTCAAGTCTTTAATTATTCTTAATACATTTCTTTGGAAATTAACTCAATTGTTTAGTCTGTTCAAGCAGTTCTACCTGTTTGTTGAACTCCAGGTCTTCAAGTATATCTCCACTGTTCCCCTTGAGAGTCTCAGGAGTGTTGCTAGACATAAAGCTCTACTGAGGCACGGGCCCCCCTCAACCGCACCGCAAAATTACTTACCCACATATAAATAGCTGCACTGAGTATTATAATTAAAATTATGATAACATTTCAAATAAATAAATGTATTATTATTATTATAAAAGTATTATTATTATACAAATATTATTATAAAGAACAGAAATCAATCCAATATAAAGACACAACTGGAGTGATATAAGATCTCCTAAAAATCTTTTGCATGAATTTTAATAACATATGAGAATTCTAGATAACACAAATCAAACATGTATAGAATTATTTTCTGTCTGAGACCTGACTGGCTAGATGGCAGAGAAATAATGTTATTAATGTCATCCTACAGCAGCCATGTTTAGTCAAAATATCATCATCATATTACTTAAGCATTAGTTTTGCTGACTTGCAAAACTTAAGGAGTGCTGACTTCACTGCATTAAAAGCTGTTACGCCGGTTTCACAATGTATGAGTGGCGCATATTATTTTCAGCGTGTGTGCTTACTCTGGGAGCAGAAGCAGCTGTGCGTGAAGCGCACAAGAATAGTTTTCTGACAACATGTGTCAGTTAGTTTTCGATTAAACTACGTTGCTTTATTTACTTCTTTGCCCCATTTACTAGGGGATACCCCTGGTGAGTCTCCTGCTCCTGATACTCTTGTGAGTTTCCCTTTTCGGCTTGTTGTGTGTTCATTAGCTACAGTTTAAATAACAACCGCAAAGAAGACATTTATCTAAAAATCTATGCCCACCTCCACCCCCTTCCTCTTGGAAGGACATCTATTTACCATCCGACCAGCCATCCAGCCATTCAATTTTCTATCTATCCATGCATCAATCCATCAATCCAAAAAACACTTAACCAGACCATCAGTTTGCAGTCATCACTGAGGTGGGATTCTTGTTTCTCCACATGCCCCAGTCTAATCTGCAAAAGACAAAAGCAAGACTAACAGAGCTCTACTGGCTGATCTCCAGCAATAAACAAAGTGTTCTCCAGTGTTCTTCAGAGAAATATTCACTTTTGCGCTTCTGTCTGTTGTAGTTCCATTACTTACAAAGTAAATAACTGCCACAGACAAGACATCTATCTAACAATCTATGCCCACCACCACCCCCTTCCTCTAGGAAGGACAACCATGCACCCATCCGTGTGTTTCCCTGTTCCTCCACATGCTCTGTGCCAATCTGTCAAAGAGAAAGATTTCAAGTCTTTAATTAATCTTAAAACCTTTCATTGGAAACTAACTCCTTTGTTCAATCTGTTCAAGCAGTTCTACCTGCTTCCTGAGCTCCAGGTCTCCAAGTATATCTCCACCTTTCTCCTTGTGAGTCTCCTTCTGCTGCTCAACCTTAACCTGCAAAAGACAAAGACGGCTCGCCCAAAACCCTACGTGCTGTTCTCCCCAAATGCACTTATGAGTCTCCCTCTTCTGCCTGCTCTCTCTCCATTACCTAAAAAAGAAAAACCCGACACAGACAAGGCCTAATTACTCCCTATACCAACCACCACTCCTGTATCTTGAAAGATCGTCCATCCATGCACTCAGATTTTTTTTTAAAGAAATTCATGACCATCAATTTCCAGTAGTTGCTGAGGTGTGTGATTCCCTTTTTCTCCATGTGGTCCATTAAAATCTGCAAAATACACTAAAAAGATGTCATGTCATTAATTAATCTCAATGCATTTTTTAAACTAACTCCATTGTTCAGACTGTTCAAGCAGTTCTACCTGCTTCCTGAGCTCCAGGTCTTCAAGTATATCTCCACCGTTCCCCTTGTGAGTTTCCTGCCTCTACTCCACTCCAACCTGGAAAAGACAAAAGCTGTTTCCCAAATGGCACATTATACACTATGAACTTATACGCCATGTACTCATGCACTTACACACTTAATGGTATAGTGTGTGAATGTAGTGTCTTCCCAAATAAAACACTTACTGACAGCACTGACAGAGCCCTACCTACTGTTTTCCAGCATTTCTTAGAGAAATGTCCCACGATGCTCTTGTGAGTCTCATTCTTCTGTCTGCTCTCTCTCCATTACCTGAAAAAGAAAAATCTGACACAGACAAGGCCGAATTACTACCTCTACCAACCACTACTCCATCTTGAAAGGATGTCCATCAATTCACCTGTCCATCTGATTTTTAAAAAATAAATAAATTCCTGACCATCCAGTCTTTGATGAGGTAAGTAATTCCCTTTTTCTCCATGTGGTCCATTAAAATCTGCAAAATACAAGAAGAAAATACCTGAACATGACTTCCTGTCTCAGTAAGACCAGGGCTGCGTCAGAAACCGCATACTTCCATATTATATAGTACGCTAAAATCAGAATGCGAGCTGAGTAGTATGTCCGAATTCATGAAATTCGAAAATCAGAATGTGAGAAGTACCCGGATGACTTACTACTTCTGGCGAGATTCTGAAGTGCGCATCCCATACACGCTGCGCTACCCCATGATGCCCCGCGAGAGAATTCATGAATAGGAGTAAAGCGACGCAACTGACGCAGGTAGGGCACGTGACCATGATAAAATGGCAAATGCAGTATGTCAGAATTCCGAAATCATCACAGCACTATAAAGACTCCACTCACATTTACTCAGTGTTTAGCCTCTTCGCTAGTAAAGAAAGGACTGAACTCCCTATACACCGTCAGTGTTGATTCTTAGGTAGCAGTTTACTTGCATCTTTTTTGTCTTCCATGTCTCTCCTAGTGTGACATCTCCTGGTTCCTGGTCTGTTCTTCGTCCTGTTTGCCATCTGTGGTATCCGTCTCCAGTTTCCAAGCCTGCACAGTCAAATATCCAGTTAATGTTCATGAACTTCTCATCTGCATCAATATACTCACCTGCTTATACTCACCTGCCATCCTTTAAATAGACAGCTTTCATATTACTCCCCTGAATCCCGTCCCTTCTGTGACACTCACTCTGTAAAAATTAAATTGTATAATTTTAGGTGTTTTATAAAGTTGATTTAATCCAACTTTAAAATGTAAGGCTGTAACTAATTTATTACAATTTACTTGTCATTACTGAGGTGTTTCCCTGTTCCTCCACGTGCTTCATGCCAATCTGCCAAAAAGAAAGATGTCAAGTCTTTAATTAATCTTAATACAATATATATTGGAAACTAACTCCATTGTTCAGTCTGTTCAAGCAGTTCTACCTGTTTGTTGAGCTCCAGGTCTCCAAGTATATCTCCACTGTTCCCTTTGAGAGTCTCAGGAGGCACGGGCCCCCCTCAACCGCACCGCAAAATTACTTACCCACATATAAATAGCTACACTGAATATTATAAATTAAAATTATAATATTACAAATAAATAAATTATTATTATAAAAGTATTATTATTATACAAATATTATTATAAATAAAGAACAGAAATTAATCCAATATAAAGACACAACTGGAGTGATATAAGATCTCCTAAAAATCTTTTGCATTAATTTCAATAACGTACAAGAATTCTAGATAACACAAATCAAACATGAATAGAATTATCTTCTGTCTGAGACCTGACTGGCTAGATGGCAGAGAAATAATGTTATTAATGTCATCCTACAGGAGCCATGTTTAGTCAAAATATCATCATCATATTACTTAAACATTATTTTTGCTGGCTTACAAAACTTGCTGAGTGCCAACATAACTGCATTAAAGGCCGATACACCGGTTTAACAATGTATGAGTGACGCATATTATTTTCAGCATGCGTGTTAAACAACCGGGATTTACTCCGTGAACAGAAGCAGCTGTGCGTGAAGCGCACGAGCATGGTTTTCTGCACACATGCGTCAGTTAGTTTTCGATTAAACTACGTTGCTTTATTTACTACTTTGCCCCATTTACTAGGGCATGTGCCCCCGTAAATGGGGTCTAATGATACCCCTGGTGAGTCTCCTGCTCCTGATGCTCTTGAGAGTTTCTCTTTTCGGCTTGTTGTGTGTTCATTAACTACAGTTTATATAACAGCCGCAAAGAAGACATTTATCTAACAATCTATGCCCACCTCCACCCCCTTCCTCTTGGAAGGACATCTATTTAGCATCCAACCAGCCATTCAATTTTCTATCTATCCATGCATCAATCCAAAAAACACCTAACCAGACCGTCAGTTTGCAGTCATCGCTGAGGTGGAATTCTCGTTTCTCCACATGTCTAGTCTAATCTGCAAAAGACAAAAACAAGACTAACAGAGCTCTACTGGCTGATCTCCAGCGATAAACAAAAGCCGCTTTTCCACTATCGTGCTGAATCGTTCTTTAAACAGAACTGTTCCATTCCGTGCCAAACCGGGCCAGACAGCACGGATACGGTTTCATTTTCCACTGTCGTGTTGCGACAAAGCTCTTTAAAACATTACACAAAACGCATCAGTAGTTGCCTTGGTAACGCAATGTAAACAGCTCCTTTTGTTCAATTAAAGTTAAATAAGAGCCGAAACTATTTTTTTTTTCATAAAAGCGAAAGCAACCATGTGACTAAACACTGTTATGCCGCTCTATCAAATAGGGGTGCTAAATATAGGTACATGTGCACCCTTATTTATTTATATGTTGCGCAGCTCTGGCTACATTTTATTTGGAGGGAAAATTACCAAAATGTAACGTGATGATTGAAAATAATTGGAGGGGAAATAAATAATATTTAAAATCTCTGAACATAACAGAAAAATAAACAATGATAAGACAACAATAATAGTGCATTTGTATTAGAGTGGCAGAAATATCATTTTGGACAAGCCTTGTCAAAGGTGAGCGGGCACTTTCACTAATAAAAGCACAGCACATAAATTATTTCATTTTTAACAATTAATTAAATTACACTGCGTTTTTATATCAAAAGTTGATAATGATATAAAAAATACTACATTTTGATGGTAAAATGAAACCAATTAAGCGATGGCTGTTATTTGTTTTACTATTCAAACATTAAATAACGAATAAAAAAACCCCGAAATGAAATAAAAAACGAATATGAAACAACACATATATCGCAGGATTTAAAGCATATAAAGCACTATTATATTTAGCAAAATGCTGCTCTGTTATCTTTTTATTTTGATAATTTTATTTTTATTATTATAATTATTTTTGTGTTCATAATTAACTAACAAGCTGTAGGCGAATTATTGTTTGACGTTTTAGAAAATATTTGCGTATCTATATTAAAGATCACCAAGAACAAAAAAACAAAAACACAGAAACATGTTACATGCCTCATAAATGTCATATAACTTATGTATAACTGAATCATATAATTGCCTATAGCTGAAATGATGAAAATTGCTTATTTTATTTTTATAAAACATTTGTCAAAACGTATTGATATTTTTTGAGCAAAAGCAATACTGACATTTAAGAATCCATATTTATTTAATTCATTCATTCTTTTTTTTATTATTAGTGCAAATGCTATAATATAAATCATACAACAGTACCTTGGACAGTTACAGTGCCGCTCCGTAAAGCTTTCAAGCAAAGTCATTTGGACGGCCGACATTACAACACGACGTCCTTCAGGTGGTCTCGCCGGTATTAACAAGCTGTCCTGGCTTTGAATTAAAAAGTGCAATTATTTCCTCGTTGTTAAAAGAGTCTGCACGTTCGTGTTCCATGGATATAGTGATGTTGTTGTGGAATTTGGACATCGACGATGCAAAGCGTGACTTTATTCGCTTTATTTGATGCGCAGCAGAAAAAAAAGTGAGCAGCGCAAGTCGCTGGCATGTCTCTCCCGGATCAGAGCGAGTTTTGTGCTGTGGAATACAGCGCTGCATGCAATAAACTCACATTCAGGCAGGCGAAGTAGGTCTGTATTCAAGTCAATAAAATAATAACTTTAATGAATAAAATATCTTCGTAAGAATGTGATGAGTTATTCACTTCTCTGCCAGAGACTGCTCAATGGTTTTAAAACCCTTTTCAAACTGTATCGTTTAGACCTGGATCATTATTTTATATTAAATGTACTGTAGTTTATTGAGGATGTCTGATGACTAGCACGCTTCTGCTGAGCCAGCTGTGGTAGCTTAGCAACCGAGTCGCAACGTCAACACACAGAATCTGTCAGCACAGTTCAGCACGGTTGTCTAACCGTGCCGAGAATTCCGGGCCGAGAACGGTTTGTAATCGTGCCGCGCCGTTCCAGGCTCAGTGGAGAAACAATCGTAACCGTACCGAAGTGTTCTTAGAACGGTTTGGCACGATAGTGGAAAAGCAGCTAAAGTGTTCTCCAGTGTTCTTCAGAGAAATATTCACTTTTGCGCTTCTGTCTGTTGTGGTTTCATTACCTACAATGTAAATAACTGCCACAGACAAGACATCTATCTAACAATCTATGCCCACCACCACCCTCTTCCTCTTGGAAGGACATCTATCCATGCAACCATCCATGCGTTTCCCTGTTCCTCCATATGCTCCATGCCAATCTGTCAAAGAGAAAGATGTCAAATCTTTAATTATTCTTAACACATTTCATTGGAAACTAACTGCATTGTTCAGTGTGTTCAGGCAGTTCTACCTGCTTCCTGAGCTCCAGCTCTTCACAGAGCCCTACCTCCAGTTCTCCAACATTTTTAGATAAATGTCCACCGATGCTCTTGTGAGTCTCCCTCTTCTGCCATTAGCTGAAAAAGAAAAAATCTGACACAGACAAGGCCTATCTAACTATCTATACCAGTGGTTCTCAAACTGTTGTACGCGGAGGAATCACCGAATAATACTTAATATTATATGAACACTCAGTTACCCTTTGACACATGTGATAACACAGATGTGATGAGCATTGGCTGTTCCCTGTACTGTATGATCACACCGTTATGATTAATTTGTTTAGTGCATCACGTCATCAGATGCTAAGAATCTAAAAGACTGTGGAGCTCTCAAGCAGATACACGCTACAGAGAAGTGCTTTTGCAGACCAGTCTTGCTGGCATTTCAGTTACTGCAAACTCAGGAATTTCCCCATGCTGCATCATTGTTAACATGTTGACGTGTGTTCGTAGTTGTGTAAAATAATGAGCGTTTTCGATATACACAGTAGCCTAAAGTCATTTGTTTTGAAAATAGCCTAGTTGTGTAGCTTTGGATTATTTTGAACCTCGGATTTAAAAGAATCTGGATGTAATACAAATGGTGCGGGCCGCAGAACATAAACTCGAGCAAACTTGCAATGTTTGAAGCTTGGAGAAACAAAAAAATTTAAGTTAGTCTCTGTGTGCACAGACAGAGCACCCGTGAACCTTAGCCGAGTCGGCCTGGTGATCGGCTGCACAGTTAACACAGAAATCAACGGTTTACTGAAGATATGGACTCAATTCCACCAAATTAGGGAAATGCTGCATAA